TCCAACCAACACCTGTGCAGCCACCATTCAGTCTAAACATAAAGCATTGCAAGACACTTCAAGCCCTGCTTCACTTCCAACAACTGCATCCCACTCGCCTCCCGTAAAGCCCTTTGGTGTGCACATTTTTACCTTTTGGCATACTTTTACCACACACATACATCTTCCCCAAATCAGTGAGTCTCTCAGGGGTGATTCTGTGAATGGGGACATTCAGCAGTGCCCAGATACCTTAATTATCGTAAGACAAGAGGCTACTGCATGTGATGGGTGGAGGATGGATGCCTACAAAACACAGGAGAACACAGCTGGGACAGGAAAGAAGGGCCTGATGCTCCCTACAAGGTACTTTCTATTTTTTCTTTAGCTATCTCAGACTCCTTATAGCCAGCCCCAGCTACATCAGACATCATACCAGTGCTTCGGTTTCTGCACGCCTCAGTCAAGGGTCCAGCCCAGGTGACTCCACCCTTCTGTAACTGTCTTTTTTTTTTTTTTTTTTTTTTTTTTTGTCTTTTTCATTTTTATCGGTACCAGGGATCGAACTCACGACCGCCTGCTTGCAAGGCAGGTGCTTATGCCGCTGAGCTAAATCCCCAGCCCCAGTGTAACTGTCTTTTTTTAAGTGCCAGAAAGGAAACAACCCCCTACCCTACCCATGACTAAGAAAGCCTGCAGTTAGACGGCAAGATACTGTACAGGTATGAGCCTGCCTTCTTCATAAGCAATGTCCCTAGTCAGTCCCTGCACTGCTCCCCACAATGCCCCTGCCATAAGTCCTGCTAGCACCTTATCTGAATGGCACACTTACCTACTCATGATTTCTATCTAAGGTAGAGCAGGCTGAACTGGTACACTAAGGACTGGTAACACCAAAACACCAAGCTCAACCAACAGCCTCTAGCGTCTGCTAACATGGAAGGCTGTTAGCAGCCAGGAAATTACAAAGAGCAACAGAGTTGCCATCTCTGGCCACTAGAAGAGGTTCCAAAGGATGTCAGTAACCCCCCAGGGCCTCTACATCTAAGGGCTGGCAGCTGTTAGCATTCAAAGCTAGGACCTGTTAGCACTAACAGGTTAGGCTTTCTTTTGCAACTTCATGTACTTAACATGAACTTTCTCTTTTGTGTTACCAGTACCTCACTGTACAGCCACATACAGTTCACTTATGCTACTGATCCGCACACAAGTTTTTCGTAATTTCTCCTATTACAGTATGTAACACTGCTGTGAACATTCTTCACCAACCTCTCTGTGCTCTATGAAAAATTCTTGTTAGGGCAGTAACTTTCAGTGTGGTTCTCTTTTTTTTTTTTTTTTTTAATCAGTACAGGGGATCAAACTCACAACCGCCTGCTTGCAAGGCAGGTTCTTATGCCGCTGAGCTAAATCCCCAGCCCTCATGTGGTTCTTGAACTCCTAAGGAAAGCCCCAAAACCCTTTGAGGAGCTTCATGTGGTCAAAAGTACTGGCCTGAGAATATGTAAGACACCATCTGCCTCTTTCATACTGGCATACACAGATAGTGCAAAAAACACTCAGCCAAGTTAACACTTATTAATGAGACAAAAAGATATTAAGTGACTTCTGAGAAAATGCACCAAGAAAGACAAAGTATCATTTCTATGGTACTCTTGCCCAAACTACACACTCTGAACAGAAACATCCCACAAACCTAATCTTAAGACACAGTCCACATGATTACTGGGTGCTGTCTAAATCAACTGGCCCAGCCTGGAGGAGACTACTATATACAGTATATGATCGCAGATCATTACTATGTATGTATGATCATTAGTGGGACAAATGGTAAAATTTGAATAGGTTAATAGACTATTTAGTACTGTCATATTAGCACTAATTTTTTTTTTTTAATCGGTACTGGGGATCAAACTGCCTGCTTGCAAAACAGGTGCTTATGCCACTGAGCTAAATCCCTAGCCCCTAGCACTAATTTTTAAGTTTCAAAAAAACTACAGTAAGATACTAAGATCTGAAAGATGGACAATGAACAAAAGGGAACTGTTATTAATTTTCCAATATTTTTGTAAACCTGAAATTTCAAAATAAAAGTTAAATTTAATTTTAACTACTTTGTAAATAAGTATCAATTACTGAACATAAGTAAATCTTGTACAATGTAACACACTATCAGTGGACATTACATTGTAGAATGTGATACAATGTCAACTGACATTAAATATTGGAATAAAAAAACAAAACACTGAAATTAATATGAAACACTTGGGGGCAAACAGGGCAAGGAACATTTGTTCCAACCTTTAAAAAAAAAAGTAGTAGCCAGGTGTGGTGGCACACATCTATGATCCTAGCACTTGGAAGGCTGAGGCAGGAGAAGCACTGTGAATTAGAGGCTACCCTAAACAGAACACAAAACAAACTGATGAAATTAAATCACAGAAACTAAAAAGACATTTCAACATTACACATGAAGCCGGTTATCCTGAATACAGATGTGCTTCTAAACTGTTAGGGATGGAGTTAGCTCAGTGTAAAGCATGCATAAAGCCCTGGGTTCAATCCCCAGCACTAAAAATAAATACATAAAATGCTTGCTAAAAGAATCAGATGAGGGGCTGGGGATTTAGCTGAGCGGCATAAACGCCTGCCTTGCAAGCACGCAGTCCTCAGTTCCATCCCTGGTACCAATAAATTTTTTTTTTAAATTAAAAAAAAAAAAAAGAATCAGATGAACGGGATGATCTGCTACAGATAACAAATAACTGTTTTAAATTATCTTGTAAATTAAACTATGATTCTAAAAGTCAACTCTAAAAAACACCTACCCTTATGTTAAGATAATGAAATCCTTACTAGAACAGTACATTGTATTACAAAACATAAACATTAATACCCTTCCAAAAATCACTATAGAAGATAAAAAAAAATAAGTTCTGGTGTTCTACTGCAGGGAACGATGACTATAGCAATATACCATACATATTTTTTAAAAGCCAGAGGAAAGGATTTTTAAAGTTTTCACCTAAGAAAAACAAATACTCAAAAAAACTTTTAAAATCACTTTGGTTCAGGATCTCACTTTACCTTTGTCAAAAAAAAAAAGCCTTAAATTTCCCCATCAACCTACAATTACTGATCTTACCAATTCCTCCAAACTACTGACTTGTGGTTAAACTGGGGTTTGAGCTAGCATGCCAATGAAACTTAAAAGTGTGCATAAACAGGCATCCACATCTGCTGCTGGGACTATAAACTGGCATCATGTCTTCCAAAAGCAATTAGGCAATATCGATCAAAATGTTAAGTATGTGCATGCTCTGAAACAGCAATTCTACTTCAGCAGTACTCAGCCCATATGCACAAAGACATCACTGTAAAGAAGACCTGAAGGACCAAGAATTTAACTCAGCGGCATAAGCACCTGCCTGGTAAGCACGAGGTCATGAGTTCGATCCCCGGTACCAAAAGACAAAACACCTGAAATAATACAAATGCCTGCCAATTAAGTACTGGCTAAGTAAATTTGTCATCCAGTCACTAGAATACTACACAGCCATGAAAGAATAAGATAGAATCAAGTAGTCTGTACAGATGGGCTAATGTAACAATCACCACGAGGAATTACTAAATGGATATAAAAGTAAAAAATACTGAAAATGGTTTATCACTGTTTGTACTTAAAAAGTAGAATAAAAGCCAGACACTTGAATTTACAGTCCTTCTATCTCATCTTCCAGTCTGAGCTGCTTAGAGACTTACAAGACTCTGTCTCAAAAAATAAAAAAGGGTTGGGGATGTAGTTCACTTTGAAGGCCCTGTATTCAATTCCCAACACCAAAAAATGGAGGAATAAAAATCAAAAGCAGACAGATTTCTGTTTCCAGTATGTTCACATTCATGCTAGCAATAATAATACACAAGCAACTGGTAACAATGCGGGTCCCTTTTGTGCTTTCAGTCTTACTTCTTGTGCTCATACACATACAATCCTGTTTGTGTTTTAAAAGCTAGCTAAGTGGGTCGGGGATATAGCTCAGTGGCACAGCTCCTGCCTGGCAAGTGTGAGGTCCTGAGTTCGATTCCTGGCACCAAAAAAAAAAAAAAAAGCTAGCTAAAAAACACCATTTTATAAATTACCTGTGCATAAATTCAGTTAGCTCATACTCATTTCTTTTTTACTGCTGCTAGCATTTGCAAGGTTTCCTCAAGCTCCAGTGTCTTACAAGTACACAGTTCTGCGAAGTATCCAATTGTAAATCTGAATTATTTTCTACTGGCTTCAATTATTAAGGATAAATCCACATGAAAATGAGTTATATTAAAATAAGTCAGATATTTGTTTTGAGACTAAGTCTTCAGTTTATCATATAAAAAACTTCAAAGTCAGTAACATACAGTTCCCTGTAACTTAGAGAACCAAGGACACTAAGTCCACGACGGGATCATCACAGCACCTTATTGATAGGAGCAGCTAATAAAAAAGTACACCGGATGTCTCTTATTCCTCTTCCCCTTGAGAAAAGTATTTAATACTAAGTGATGGCTCAGGAGCTCCGACTACATTTTCCCCTTGATACAAAGATCTTATATTTAGACGAGAAGTCATTTGAGTCTCCCCAAAAAGCATTCAGCGACAGAACTTCATTCAAGTCATCCTGTATCACAGGGGGGGGGAGGGGAGGACCTAGCTCAACAAATAGCCGCTTAGCGACTGAGCACCATATGGCCAGCACGCCTTGGTCCAGACAGTGATTGCTAGGCGGCTGATTAATGTCAACGGCTTCTCTGGCCTCCTCGGACCTCTTGCCTGCAGGAGCAGTGGAAGAGTGTCTACTGCACGCTGAGGCTTTGTGTCCCGCAGCCTGAGAACATCCTGGTGATGGAGCGTCCAGCATTTCCCCTGGAGTCCAGAGTCATTTCTGCAAGTTTTTGTTCGCTCGCTGTTGCACCTAAAATCCCGGCGGCCCCGCCGCTCTCCGCAGTCCCCCCACCCCACCCCGCGCGCGCCGTAGCCTTACCGGTGGGCGCGCTGTCCAGGATGCGCAGGTCATACGCGCCGGAGCAGCGGTAGTTGGCGGCCGTCCCGTTGTCCCACACCACCACCACCTCTTCAGGGCTCTCGAAGCTCCGCACAGTGCCCACATGGCCCTCGCCGCCGTCCTGCTTGCCCCACTTCCAGTCCGGGCCTCGCACTACCCGCGCCCCGACCCCTTCCACCATCACCCGGTTGTTGCGGGAGTTACTCATCGGGGCGCGGGCGGGGGGCTCCGCCGCCGCCGCCGCCGCCGCCGCCGCCGGGGGGCCCGCGAGGGGGCCGGGCCCGGGCCGAGCTCTCGGCGCCGGCGGGGGCGGCAGCGAGCCCCGCGGGACGCGGGACTGGCGCACGGGGGCGGCGGCGCGGAGCCCGCGGAGTCCGGAGTCGCCGCCCGGCCGGAGCCGCCGCGCCCCTCGCTCAGACTGGAGGAGGCCGGCGCGCGGCGGCTCGGAGGCTACAGCGAGGGCGCCCTGAGGTGGGGCCCGAGGGCCGGAGCTCCCCCGCTCCCTCCGGGCTCCCCGGCCGGGCTACAGCGACGGCCGCCAACAAGCCTCGCTCTCCCCCGGCCGGCAGCGCACAGGGTTGCGGGAGGCTCGTCCGGAGCGCGCGGCGGGCGGCGAGCCCAGCGGCAGGCCCTGTCTCACCCCGGGCCCCTCGCTTCGGAGTGGACGACCGAGCGCCGGCGCCGCCTCCTCAGCCGCCGGCAGCGGCGGCTCCTCCCGGCGTCGGCGTCGGCGTCCGGTGAGCGCCCGGGCCCAGGAGCCCCCCTCTCTCTGCCCCCGCGCTCGCCGCCGCGCTCCGCCCCGCCACAGAGTCCCCGCCAGGCGAGAGCGGCTCCACATCCGGGTACTGCCGCACCCAAGGCCGGAGCGAAACCTTTTCTAGGAGACTGGGACTGGAAACGGGGAAGGGGTGCCTCGGCTGTAAGAGGGTGGGAAGCGTTTCGGAGAGTCGCCGGATAGGGGAAAGAAAGGAAAGGAAAACGATCTCCAAGCGTCTCTTCACGGCACGGTAGAACTGCGCATGCGCGCGGCCCATTTAAAAAAAACCGACCCAGTTTGAAGGGACGAAGGGGGTGGGGCTCTTGAATGGACTCCTGCTGGCACGCCACGTCCCATTGGCTGCGAGGAAGTGGGCGGGATCTGGGTGGCGGTGGGGCGGAGGAAGTGAGGCTAAAGTTGCCCATCCGCTTGCGACATTGCATCGCTGGAGGTCGGTCTTAAAGGGCTGCGCTTCCAGGTGTATGGAGCCTGAACGTGGGACTAGGTATTGTCTGTCTTCTGTTTTAACGGGGTCAAGAATAGGACTTGTTCTAGCACAGATTAAAGGCGCAGTGTATTTTTGCATGTGTAAACTGCGAATGTTTCTAAGGAGAGAGAATGATACTGAACGCTGAGAGCCACAGTAAAGCCTGTTGGAGCTGTCTTTATGCACAGACTTTGCCATTAATAATTGCCCCTTCCCCCACAGAACTCAGCTGCCACGGAAAAAATACGACCTTGACCAGGACTGAAAGTCATTTCTGGTTGCTATTACTTAAATGACACTACAGTGTGTAGAGTTCAAAACCACTGTTCCCACAGATGCATTCTTAGCTTGAACTATTGCTTTTCTGCAAGTCCAGAAAGGAGAGAGACTGCAACAAAGCGAATAATCAAGAGGAAAGACAAGGAAGTAGTTGTAAAATGGACTCACTGAATTATTATGTAACGAAATAAAACTAACAGGACCAATTACTGGGTCCCAAATGTCAAATAAAGTTAATTTTAGAGTTTTGTTTGGGGTTTTTTTGTTGTTGTTATTTTGTGACAGGATCTCACTATGTAGTTCAGGCCGACTTTAAACTATGTAGCTGAGGCAGGCCTCAAATTCACAGTGATCCTCCTGCCTCAGCCTCTCCAGTGCCAGAATTACAAACGTTCACCACCACGCCGAGCAATTTTAGAGATTTAACAGAATTAAGATTTGCACAGAATACAGAAGCCAAATATCTAATCTGTGCTTAAAAGGGTTTTGGCCCTGGAAATTTTAAATGTGTTATTGCACACTTTTAGATGAGGCTGGCTGGTACTGCTTAAGTAATTTATCCAGGATTACTATTCAACTGTTCCTAATCAAATAAGGGCACTCTTTTTAAGTGTTTCTGCTCTACCAACTCTTGACTGTCTTCAGGTCTTCTATAGTTTCCTTCTCTCCATATTGACCACTTAAATTCATTACTGGATTACTATGCCTTTGTAGCAAAGATTTTAGAATAAACTACGGCCACTATTAAGAGTTATATGAGTATTTGTGATTGACTTTGTTAAGTAAGTTAATTCAAGTACAAGCAGCAGAGGCACTGATATATTTGCATCAAATATATCAGTAATAAATCTATGTGTCTAGTCGTGTTCAGCTTACTCGGGCATTTTATATTTACTGTGGCATAGTCTAACATTAATAGGCTGATGAGTGAGGATTATGAACAAAAACTTATTGCTGAGCTACCCCTCTAATACTGGGCTTTTTTTTTTTTTTTTTTTTTTTTTGGCTTTTTGAGACTGTCTCACTATGCAATTCAGGCTGGCCTTGAGCTCACTTTGTAACCCAGGCTGATCTTAAACTCGCAGTGATCCTCCTGCCTCAGCCTCCTGACTACTGGGATTACAGGCATCCGTGCACCACCACACCCAGTTTTAAGTTTTTAATTTTAATACCAGAGAGTTTTAATGCTGGTATGATTTTCCCCTAAGTGAAGATATGATTCCAATTTCCAGCCTCCCATTCTGCTTACCTTTGCAGGGTCATAAAGGAACTCATCAAAACCTCCAAAGTACTTCTGAGCACATCAGATTGGCCCAGTCCATGTGCTTGAGATTAAGTAAATTGTCTGGGATTACAGAAAAAATCATTAGAGAGCTAAGACTATAAACTGTCTACTACTGGCCATACTTCTCGCTACATAAATGTTCCTGCCCATCTAGCCCCATTGTAGATTTCTAGCACCATCATGTCATTAACACTATTTCAAGGCCTTTAATGAATAGTTTGCCAGTGATCTCCAAATGTTTTTGACCATATGTCCTTTTGGAGACTAGGAGCCCAAAGTTACCGATAATTGTGGTGCCACAACCACTGCCAAAGCTACAGGTTCAAATTGAATGCAGATGTCTTGTGCTCTGGGTGAATGATTTAGGGATGACAGTGTGATGTATGTACCATTGTTGCCCGAGTGACGTTTTGAAATTTTATTGTATTTTATTTTCTTCTTTTTTTCCTCCTTGAAATAAAATGAATTTGGGAGGAAAAAAATTATTCCTTGTCTAAAAAAAAAAAAAAAAAAAGTAAAAGGTCCAGAAATCCAGGGCACATCCTAATACAGGATGGCATTGGAACTGCCCTGATAAGAACCAAAACATGAGTTCTTACCTCTTTAGTGAATCTCCCTCCTGTTTCCCATAAATAACAAGGGGCTGCTGTTTTCAGGGGTTCAGTGCCATTACCACCTTCAACCATGCTTAAACATCCTTGTAACCGAGAAATAATAACATCATGCAGCCTAGCAAAATGTAAATACTCCATTTTTCCTCCTTCCCTGGAACGAGAAGCACAAAATCATATCCATCCCTGGAAAGTCTTTCAGTTCAGCCACAATCCTACCTGGATAAATGTTACTAAGAGTATAAAATTAACAACCAGCAACAAAATTGGCAGACCAATTCTGATAGAGTGACCAAGAAAAGGAAACATCCCAACCAACAACCAGCACTCAATATGTAAAATAAGAATGAAACAAAGGAAAATAACTGGTTTAAAATACATAGCTAGTGTTTCAGGATTAGATGAGGTCAGACTGAGGTAGCATGGACCCTAAATCCAATGACTTGACTTGCATCTGAGGAAAGACCGTGAGGATAGTTTGCTGTCCCTACCAGGAAAAAGCAATATGCTTGTGATAGTTGTCAAGTAATATAAAGAAAACACATTTACAAATTAACATTTACAATAGCTGGAGATGTGTGGAATATTTCTTTGCTCCAGTAAAATTGTCTCCTCTCGAACAGCAGCTGCAATGAGGAAACTGAGTCAGTGTACAGCAGTACACAGGACCCGTCTTCCTTTGCAAGCTAAATAGACACGTTTAATAAGAATGTTATAAAAATCACAATCACTGCATTTTTTAAGTCTTCCATTTTGGTACTCCCTGTAATTCCCCCAGGATGTGATATTGCTTTAGGCTTGCTTTTCAGTAAGAAAAGAATAGTTACAAGGTTCCTTTTTTTTTTTTTTTTAATCAGTACCAGGGATCAAACTCACAACTGCCTGCTTGCAGGCAGGTGTTTATGCCGCTGAGCTAAATCCCCACCCCTAGTTATAAGGTTCCTAGTCAGACTTCCTTACTGTAATATCTCATTCCACAGATCAAGAGCCAATATGCATATTACTCCAGTTGCCAAGTATCTCAGTTCCAACTGTGCATTCAGAAACTAGGGGAAGCAGGATGTGGTGGTGCACACCTGTAATCTCAGCCCTCTAGGAGGCTGAGGCAGGAGGACTGCAGGTTGTAGTCCAGCCTGGACAATGTAGACTCTTCTCAAATAGAGAGAAAGAGGGAGGGACAGAGACACACAGACAGACAAGCTGGTGATATGACTCAGTGATAGAGTGCCCTGGGTTTAATCCCCAACATTTATGACAAAAAAAAAAAAAAAAAAAAAAAGTTGGGAAGTTAACTAATTCCCACACTTAGGAGGCTGAGGCAAGAGGATCACTTGAGCCCAGGAGTTCCAGCCTGGGCAAAGGTAGCAGAAGCCCACTTGTCTAAAAAAATAAAAACTTTTTAAAAAATGGGATGTACTGTAGTATACTGGAGCTCAAACTAGGTTTGCCACAGGACTCTGACCAAACTCTTTGCCCAGTATCCTCCAGTGACTTCTTGAATCTCACAATAGTTAACCAGTGGCTAGGAATTTCTAAAATAGAAACTCATCTTTCCCTACTGCCCTTCACTCTCAGAAATGGCTTCTGGTCCTGTTTGTTTTGTCTGTTTGTTTTTGTACCAGAGATAGAACTCAAAACCTCATGCTTTCCAGGCAGGCACTTATGCCGCTGAGCTAAATCTCCGGCCCCACTTCTGGCCCTGTTTTGAAAGGAAGAGAGGAGAAGAATTATAAGATAAATTTTGGCCACCAGCCTTCCTCCTGAGGACTGTGGTGAGACTTCTGTCTGGGGAGCAG